AGACAGTTCGGATAGCTTATTCACAGCCCCACGACAGTGTTCGCTACTCTTTAAAGGGTGTCTTGCTTGAAAAAGATTTCTAAGGAATGTAACTAGGTGCTTCGGATTAGCAATCTCTAAGTAATTCTGATTCGCTGGAGCAAACTCAAATCTGGCCATCCAGATGATCAAATCCGATCCGCATATAAGTATTCCTCTTTTCCGCTCGCAGTGCATATGCACCATTTGTCATTTGCGAGTTTAAGAAACTGCCCGTACAGTTGATCCCTTGTGACAGCGGACATCATATTTCATTTTATCTTGTAATCTTTCTTTACTTCTTATTATACACATTTGTGTCATGAACAGTGAACGGAGTGGATCCCGTAGCCCCGTTTACCTGCTGTTTGGTGATTGAAATCGGCAACCTAAGCACCGGGGCATGGATTATTGAATCATACATAAAACGCCCCACTAGATTAGGAGTATTACTGAACCAGGCGATAGCAAAGTTGCCTATCACCCAAGTAGGGTGTCGGTGGCGGGGTTCGAGCGTCGAACCACACGGTCCAGAGCACACCGGTGACTGGCACTAAACCACTGTCCCAATGCCATCCTTCATTGCTGATACGGTTGCTTTTGTAAACAAGCGTCAAACTGATCTCATCTCTAACGATCCTTAGCTATCAAAATAAATCTTAGTTATTTTATTTTATCAAGCTCATCACTCAATTCTTTTTTTAATGGGGCTTGATTGCTGATTTCTTTGTTTCAATCAGTTCACAGTTGATAATTTTTTGCTACAGTTTGTTTGGCAAACAATTAAATAATGCATACAGTAATGAAAAACAGTTCGGTTTGATTTGTGTATAAACAACACAATGATTCAAAAGAAACGTTCCCCCTAGTTTCTCAAAGGGCTAAACCAATATGTACTATTCACTAGCGGATCAACCAATACCATCTTGTTTTGTCCTATGCTTCAAATAAAGGTTTTCTTTCATTGTTCTCGGCGTCGATATATCGATCAGTCTCGGGTGCATCGTTCTTGCTTTCCTCATATTTTTCAGGGTCCCGTTCTTACCATTGTCCCACTGAGGGTGTAATTGTTCATCACTGTGAGTGGACACGTATGTGAAAAGAACTGTTTGTCTAAAACAAATCTATTTTGATTTTAAGTTTGTGAAACGATCACATTCTTGTATTCACTGGGGGCTGAAATGAATTGCACAACACTTCCGGTTTTCTAGCGTTCCATTGGACTAGCGTTCCCATTGGACTTTTCAACGGCTGTTTCACTTCACCGTTGTCCTGTACTTCACACACACACACACACATTAAAGTGATTATTTCACATCAAGCATTATCAGTGTTAATAACTCGGCCACCATCATCTTGTCTTGGATATAGTTATCTCTACGCCATCTACCAACTTTGGAAAGAACGTTTCACTTTCAAATATGACATTACACAGCAACCTGTTGTTGCATGCTACTCTCCTCTCTCTACTCGGTTCCGATTTCCTTCCGTCGAAATCCCAAGCAATGTTTTACAACTATTACCAGTTTGCGTACAGACCATCCAGCCGTTATTGAAGACACTCACCTCGATTGAGATTGATCTGCATCACAGATGATACTCAGATGCACCGAAGCGATTGCAGTCTACCACTGGATATCTTCATTGTGTTAAAAAATAGTTTTGTTCGCCACCAAAGCGTTGTCTGCATGACTTTTTTCATATTTGTATTTACTTAGTACACCAAAACACCGCATATAAAAGTTGGGTTTGTCCGCAATAGGCAATAGTTGGGATGTAAGAAAATCGTCCCAGAAAGCATTCGCAAATCTAAAACAAACCGCTTCTGGGATCACAATGCACGCAGTTAAGCGTGATCATAATCGCTCCGGTGTCTCAACCTCCTCGAAACTACTCAACAGATCACATTGAACGATCTGTTCTATGTCAGTTTGTGACCCATTGTGAGGTGCATGGATAATAAGGGCATTTATCAAACACTTATCGACTCCCTTTGATATCGGAACTATACAGCACTTGTGAATACTCGCCGGTTGAGCTACGTTGTGTCCGAATTTTAGATCAGTGAGTTAAAATGTTTTAATTGAAATTACTGGCAAGACAATTATTCTCCAACTTCCGATACACCTAAAACAGTGATCCAAAAATTTTTGACATGCAAACTACAGTTAACTTTATAAGCCTAAATAGTTAATAAAATGACGATGAAAATACTAGTTCAATTCACTAATTAGTTATTTAATAGTTGGTGCGGACTTCCGGCAATGTTCAAGGAAGTGCAGGCTGGTTAAATTTTACAAATTTGTTCTACAGCCAGAGCAAAACGGCTAAGGTCAGTTGTTCCAATACTTAGCCCCAGTATAACGCATTTCACCTTATCGCTGGTCTGCCCCTCGCATCCACTCCTCAACTCCTTCCCATCGCTGATCGATCAGTATTGTGAATCCCTTTTAGACCGCGAGTTGCTCAGTGTTGATCGACATAACTTGCCTATTCTGAACATTTTTCACATTTATTTACTTGCGAGACCCGATCACAAGCGTTAAGTCACCGTTACCAGGTAAATCTGATTGGTGACCTTTAAATTCTCTCTCCTTCAAGGACTGCAGAATTATGGCTTACTCTCCGTTATTCCCATTTTGGACTCTTAGGTAACTTGTCCGCATTGAACTATTTTAGTTTCGAGTGATTGCTCCTCCAGCCCCCGTTACAATAGCTTTAATACTACTGGATTGACCCTTTCAATGTACATCATGCCCGACACGAAGTAAAAATACAAACACACATGCACGCATGAACACCGAGTACAATGACCAATGAAAGCCATTTCAATATCCAGTTTTGTTTATTTATTCAAATTGTGCATGATGAAAACATTTGTTTCACACTCGTGATCTGAAATTCATTAGCAACAAATCAAACCTTCATCAGAAATAGCCTCATGGTTCCACGGACGCATTATGCACTAACCTCTAATGCCACAAAAATTAGTGAGCTAACCATTCATTGGTCCCGGGCGCAAAGTAGGCACAAACGTCAGATTTTCTCAAGTTGGCCAAGAATGCAATCAAACAAATGGGCTCAAGTGTGTGTTGAGTGAGGCTAACCTGTAAGCGATTTAGTGAACGTGATCGGGTGAGCGGTTGGGGGCTCTGTGCACGAGAACGGCTAGTTCGATCCAGCTCAAACCGCAAGCGATCGCGATCCGCTCGAAGCTCGCTTATTTGTTGCTCCAACTGACCGGCAGTAATCACGTGATTATCGGAGGGAAGAGGAAGGGGAATCGATGGAAAAAAAATCAGAGTGTATAGTTGTTATTTATTCTGTTTCTCGAAATCAAATATTCGAGATTTTCAATAAATTGAATGTTGTTCTTGTCTTGTCTCCAATTTTTAGGAACCATATCTAAAAGCTCAATGAATGGACAACTATAAAGCACTCTGACTTCTAAATATGCTCTCATTCAATTTTGATCCGTGATCATCTTAGTCCACATAGGGTCCCGTCTGTCTATATGGGGCATGAGTAGCGTCATAGTTGACTGTTAGAAGTCATTCTTTAAGCACTGAAAATCCCATACCGTCTGTTGATGAAACGTTTGCAAACCAATTACCAAACTCGGTGAACAGGAGGAAATCAACAAAGAGGTTGTCATTTGATCGTTCATTTAAAACCCACCGTCATCACTCCATTTTCTCAATAGTAGCCTGCCATTTGTGAATTGGCGGTGGTTCTTTAGGTAAAGTTGGATAATGCACTGGATTTAAATCAAATAAATTTATTTAATAAAGTTTATTATTACAAGTACATAATAGACTTTTAGTGCACTTGATAAGTTTTATCTCCTGATTGCAGTATTTTTAATTTGAGACCAAAGCCGTTGAATGATTTATCATTGATCCAAAATCCTTAAACTGACTTAATGGTGAATACGGGGGAAAGCGGGAAGGTTAACAAAATATGTGAATGATGTGGAAATGAAGGAGCTTGATTAATGTCTGGAAGTTGTCACTGGTCGTGTTTTCCGATGATTTTAATGAAGGAATTGATTCACTCAGATTAAAATATTCCTGTACGCTATAGCATATTGTTGTCAAGTGAAGCAGCGAGTTGGAAGTCAAATGGGATGACCTAATTAAAAAGCGTGTAACATTGCTAATCGGTTTAAACTAGATTTAAACGCCAAGGCAATCAAAATCTGCTTAGCGTTAAATAATACCGAGAGAATGGAAAGGAATTGCATAACATTTCTGAGAATTGCTGACTTAAGTCACTGCAACATGGTTGTATGGGTGTAAACCCACACACCCACCACCACCACCTGTTTTAATGCAATCTGTTGCAAATCAAATAGTGAAAAAGATTGACAAAGTAGCAACTATCTGGCCATGAGAACCGGCAGCTCAAGCCTTGCTATCTCGAGCAGCGAACGAGACATGAACCCAGTGTTAGGGTTAATACAGCTGGACGGTGCTTTTCATCAGTTTGTCTCATGCATTCTGTGCTCCGTCATCGGCCAACATCACTGCACAAAACTAGTCCCTTATTCAGAACCGACTTCAATCAGCTAAGATCAACGAGTTAACCTGAATAATTCAGTTAAATATATGCCATCCATTCACTTTGTAATGAGTTAGTTCATACAGGGAGGATTTATAGCATTGAGGAAAGAGAAGAAATAAAACTAGAAGTTAATCAATAGTCATTTTTCCTTGAGCTATACACGTGATCAGGTCACTGATTTTGAAGGCAGAATAATTCCGGTATATTGACAACCGGGTGAGTAACACAAAAATGAACCTAATTACTTTCAACTATGGAGTCAAGCATATAAACACCATTTCTTTTTATTAGGACCAAATTAAATGCGAAACTTGAAACCAATTTCAAAGTATTTTCACCACGAATTCGAAGTGGCACTGTGTTCATATCCTCTTTGTGTTTCAAGTCACACCGAAACGACCACTACTGTCGTCACCGTTTTAAGTGATCTTGCGTGTATCTGGTAAACTCACTTTGTGTTGAAGCGTACTCTCTTTGCTTTTTGAATTCAACTTGCTCTGACCGCTTGGAGGCTTGGATTTGAGACGGGAACTAACACGACTTGTAGAATTACTACGGGCAACAAGAGATGGATAGGCTAGCATTTGCTGCATCAGCTCGACCTGGTTTCTCCAATAATCTCGATCCGCCTCGATACCGGCCAGATGTTCTTCCAAACGATTGATAGTTTTTCCTTTGCTTGAGGACAGACCACCATGACGCTTTAGCCGCTCCAGCTCGAGTACCAGGGCACGTTCTGCAACGATTGTATTTCACGAAGGGGTGAGTTGAAGAAAACATGCCACTTTTGGACATCATATGGAAATATTGAGGATTCACAGTGTCCACGAATATTGTATCATCGAAACGGTTTATAGAAACTTTCATTTTATTATTATCTCATATGAAACTCTAATTTTCTAAGAGTCGATTATGGGTGGTAAATCGAGACTTGCAAAGTTCAAGCTCCGCAAAGAACTGCATTGATTTTGGAAAGAGAATACCGTTGTATTATAGCTGACACTAATATTTGGCTTCAGTTCTGTAGACTTATTGTATTTCCAAGAAACTCTTTCTAACTAAACAGATCTTGTTGAACAGAATATTTTCTTTGTTTTATTCACTAAGCATTGTTGTATCATCATAGCAACTGCTTTTAGACATTCTTTTGATAGCAGTGTCCAAGAAGCCACATTTATAAGTACATTAAGGTATGAGACTCAGCGGTGGAAATGACTTTACGTTTTGTACTTTCCCATTCGTGTGAGACTGAAATCAGAAAAATCAAAGAACCTACCGGGCCTACCATGAACATAGGGAACAAAACAGCTAACAGTGCTATCGGCACTGATTTTGTTTTCTCAGAAAATTACAACAGTATTAGCGGTTTATAAAAAGACGAACTTATATGTGTCCGGCAAAATTGTGCAGTTCTTCACATAAAAATAAAACAAATCGTTTCGGGGGAGAGGAGATTATCGCTCACCATTAGCAGTTAGTTTCTCAATTCGCTGAGCCAGCCGTTTCTTATCTTCTTCCAGTCGAAGCACCAGGTTCCGCATTCCACCCAGGTCGTTCTCCCGAGTTTGCATTTGTTGCTCAATTCCGGTCAAGGAGCGCTCCAGAGTGGATTTCTCCTGTTTATATTAGAAAACAAATGATTGACAGATTTTTCAGCCATATATTTTGTTCAGCACTTTTCAGAAACAGTGATAATCATACTTATAAGCGAAGGGAATTTTGCTTTAGTTGCAGTTTCTTTTCAAGAGTCCGCTGCTCACCAATACAACCAGTGGATTGCTCCTAAAAGCCCAGTTGGAACTTGATATAATGTTTACCGTGTTCGCCGGAACGTTTAATGAATTCCATCAAGAATAGGCAAAAACGAAATTTTTTGGTTCCCTCTTGTTGCGTCGTCTCTTTTTTTCTTTCGAGAACGGTAAACTCAAAACCATTTTAGAGATTTTCCATCTGGAGTATGCGAGGTGGCCTAAATGAAGTGTTGCTTGTTCTGGAGAATACTAAACTCGTATTGCATCTTTCGTGTGCAAAAACAGCTTGGTGTACTGAAAAATAATTGAATCCGGGCGGTTTCGGTGATAGTACGAAACATTTGTTTAAAACACCAAGCCCCGAAAGTATGTTAGAGCACTCACAATTTTCCAGGGAACGTTCCCTTACAGGACTGTTCTTAATTACTCTGCATAAACACCGTGACTTACTATCGATACCAGGCATGATGATTAGTTATTCATGGAGTAATGAATTTCTATTCATTGGATATTTGAACCGTTGCTGATTAACATACTGGTTGATATACCCTTCCATAAATTTGATTCATTCTTCCAATTGAGTAATAATTTGATTGGAATTCACTACCTCTTATTTCTCTGATAGACACATTAGGTGTGCCTCGGAATCCATGTTAGATTTACTTCAAATATTGTTTGTTTCTTAACGGCATCTTACCTCGTTTTGGATCCCACTGCATTATAATTTTTAGACAATATTGTGTTTGCTAATGCATGCTACGATGATGATGATAAGTGTTGCATTTGTTTATTTTAGATTGCCTTATGAATATTCTTTATCCAAAGAGAATGGAATTCAACTTCTCACAAATAACGTATAATTAATTTACCTGTCAGTTATTATCTTTTGTAATGTAATGTGTAATTGACTATTAGTTGAAAAAAATAGACTCCCACATACGTTTTTTCTCAAAATGGACTTAAGTCTGAATTCACCCACCTTATTTAACTGCAGGCGTTTCATTTCTTTTTATGCTTCCTAACCTCATTCTGATTTGGTTTATTAAGGAAAAATGTGCCTGCAACATTCAGGTGTGGGTCTCAATTTCGCTGACGTTGTCACAATTCAATAATGAAAACCTTCCTCAACTATCTATCGAAGCAACGGAAGTTGGACGACCTTTTCATCAGTAAAATTTATCCGGTGTATCCCGGATTATTCCGGGCTACATTCGGAGTGCTGAATCTCACAGTATGGATGAGGTGAATTGTCAACTGTGAATGAATCTGCTGCTGTCCCTGTGAATTGATGGCTTCATCGCTAGAGAGTACATTATACAGTGGTACAGAACGTGTGTGGGATGGATTCCAATTGCATGAAAATCACCAGCTGCACGTGAAGAACGGTATTTCAGGTCCTTTTTTCGAAACATGACCATCTGCATTCAGTTCATTGAATCCTTTAATTATTCCATTCACTAATCAAAACACTTCAAAGTTTAACGAGTGGGGTTATTTTGTTGCCAAGTCCAAGAATGATTGTTTAAAAATTGTATTCGAAACATTTAACGGCCGATATTTTACTGTTCTATGTTCACAGTTGCATGACCCCAAACCCTATAGACATCCATGAGCGTTGATTGCACTTTGGAAATGTTTTTAAATTGGCTTCTGTTTCGTAAATGCTTTTCCGATTTCAAACCCAACTATTGGCACTTATTGCAGGACTGAGAAAACGGCCTAGAACTATGCAAAACAAGATGTTAGAATTACAGTAAGCACCAAAGTTCCCACCGAGACTGGTGCACAGACGTCTTCGTCCTTTACGATAATAATTTATATTATTATGTCTTAGAGTTGTTCACTTGGCTATCTTGTCTAGACGATAAAATTTAATCATCAATGGACCACTTAGGTCATTTACCTGGTAAGCTCGGTAACAGCATTGTCAAAATCTCAAAAATGAGTGCGTTGAACTATTTCTCCGAAAACTAAGAACATTTCGACCCTCTACAACAACAGCGATGACATGGTTGTTACAATTCATCGCATTCATAAGTATAATTAACCTTACACATGTGACCGTCGTTTATCTCTAAATGCCACGGGACTAAGATGCATTTTCGTGACATGAAGCTGCTTTCGGGCACTTTTCATCGTTCTCTACAGATGTGAGCAATGACCGAATAATCTCGCTTATTTTGAGTTATTATCAGACGCCCGTAGTCAAGTTAAATTATGCTCGCGTTTTGAAACACTTTCAGGAAGGCTGAGAGTTCACGCTCGTGATCGGCGTAAAAACGATTTCATTCAAGTTCGGCCTGCCAAGTTGTTTGTTGACAATATAGACACTGTAATATTCTTACGTGGTAGCAGTCAAAACTTTCCTCCGAAATACACTGAAAAATCAAAGATATTTGGGCTGCAGTTGTCACAGCACCGCCACACTCGGGGATGTTTCTTTAAACCCCATCAGACTGACCATCACTGAAACGTCCTGAACGCCCACCCAAGTCTCAAATGAATCGGTTGGGATGTCGGAGTTACACTTTAAATAAATCTAACATGTCTCTTTGTACGCAGTTGACTCTGCTTGAAGCATTATTCCTGATGGAAACATTTCTGAATCAACAAAGACAAAAAGCCCCCTTTAGCTAATCAATTAGCAAAACAGTGATTATCATGATGAGATGATTTCTCCTATTAATGTGCTGACTGTCAGTCAGAGCCTGTCCAGGAGGTGTTCCATTACTAAATGTGTTGTTTATCGAGCGCACTGCTGAAGTTGGCACGTTTTTAGAAAAAAACGTAAAATTTACATCACTGAATCCAGAAGTACTCACGATTAGATGCTTTGAAACGCAAACCGTTTGGTAACGCCTTTTTGCTGCATTTATGAATTCAGATAATCGGTACTTTATTCATCTTAATGAAGTGTCATCCTAGAAAGATTGGATTGACGCCTTAGTTGGGAGCTTCAAGAAAATTCGGGCTATTTGTTGTTGTTATTTAACTATTTGAGATTTGAATTCTGAAATATAGCTCGAATATAGGATGAACCAATCTGGCAATCAACTCCTTACTGACTAAATTATATTTTTTTAATTTCTACAAATATCATCTCGATTAATGAGAGCTAGGTTTTGACTAAATAATCGTTCTTACCACTAGCACTAGGTAAACAAAACCAAACAAACCAGTTGTGTTTGAACTCATCTTGGCAACGAACAAGAAATGCGAACAACTTGCCACATCACAAATAATGAGATTTTTACTGCTTCGTGGTAATGTATTTTCTCTTGTAGGTATTAGTTTGGATGCTTTAATGAGCAACATTTGCACCAGAACGAAACAGTTTAGGGCTTTATTCTCGCATGCCATTCGTCACCTTTTCAATGA